TGCAGTGCATGTTGTTCCAATCCCCTGAGACTTTCATTCATCTTCAGAACACAAATTAAGCTGCGGTCAAACTGCGCTTTTCTCCCCATCAACTTCTAGTCATACGCATGCAAATGCATCAGACCGGAAACGCAATCTCATGCGGCAAGTTTCACAGTTTGCTATGTTGGAAAGTTCCCGCTTGGTGAACTCTAACCTGTGAAATCGCATCATATGATTGCGTGAGACCAAATGAGGATTAAAACATGACCTCTCTTGACAGAAATTTAAAACATGGACCAATCTTGCTTTTTTAATGTCTAATCATCTTGTTTAATCCCACCACTTTTCGCAGCGCCGTACGACAGAATTTCGCATGCACAAACTCTAGTGTGACTGCGGCATTAATATGTTTAAGATGAAATCCAAAAGTGGCTGAAAAGAGTACATAGACGAACAAAGTAATTTCTACAGTCTTTTTGGTGCCCAAAATTGTTTTGGAGCATAAGAATGCAGTTGAACCACTGAAGTCACACGAAATGTTTTGACAATGTTTTTGGTTTCCTCTCTGGACTTTGAACCTCTCACAAACTTGCTGTCCGTAGAGGGTTAGAGAGCTCTCAGATTACATCTAAAATATCTTCGCTTTTGTTTCCGAAGATAAAAGAAGGTCTCAGGAAGTTGGAAGGATATATGAGGGATGAGTAATTAACAACAGAATTTTCCTTTTTTGGGTGAACTAATCCTTTAATTGTTTAAAGGAGTGGTGAATTGAGAAATCATATTTGCCTTGATCTTTTGAAATATGACACGTCCTTGTAGTGCCAGAAAATCGTCCTGCATGATTCCTCAATTTATTGGTAGCGTCACTTTAAAAATGACAGTATTTTATTATGAGCAGTGTTTGCTGAGTTGTGCTGACACTTGACAGCATGTGAGCGCATACACTCCTCGGCCACTTTATTAGGTACAACTGTTCTTTCACGCAGATATCTAATCAGCTAAACGCACGGCAGCAACTCAATGCATTTAGGCATGGTCAAGACGATCTGCTGCAGTATAAACTGAGCATCAGGATGAGGAAGAAAGGGGGTTGCTAGTGTCAGACTTTTAGGATTTAGGAAAATACACCCTTATCTTTAGTCAAAAACGATGAGTTCCCTCTGATTAAACACTGATGAATGATGAGGGAAATCCTATAGTTTGTGATGAAGATGAGGTTGTTTCTTCTTGGAAAATATATTTGAGGACTGTAATTAAATTTAGCTGCATTTTTTAGAGGTTTAGTGAAGGTGAGTCATTTTTGACCTGAAGGGCGAATGGTGTATTTAACAGGAGGGTTAAAGTGGCTGAGGTTTTTTTAGCTAATCTCTGTTTACCATACAATGTTTATTAAACAAGAGAATGTCAAAAACAAAATAGACAATAGTTTATTACTTCTACATTATTATGGACTTCTGAAGACAAGATGAGGAGGATTTTATTCACGCTCTCACCATCTTTTATTTTATTAGCACCAAATGGGGTATTTGCACACGGACTTTTAATTTCATTCAGCCCCATGGCTTCTGGTTAATTGTCATCCCATACACAATTGACACATTTACATTTACATTTAGTAATTTAGCAGACGCTTTTATTTAAAGCGACTTACAAATGAGGACAAGGAAGCAATTTACACAACTATAAGAGCAACAATGAATAAGTGCTGTAGGCAAGTTTCAGGTGTGTAAAGTCTAAGAAGGAAAGCATTAGTAATGTGAGAATTAATTTTTTTTTTAGTACAGTTAGTGGTATAGCTAGAGAGTCAATTGCAGATTAGGAAGTGAAGTGGAGACTAAATAGTTGAATTTTTAGTTGTTTTAAGTTCTGATTTCTTAAAAAAAAATCAGCAATTTTCACAGCCTGGCTGAGATACGATATAAAGTGGGTATCAGACCAAACAAGAAGCACTGCACTGAATTATATATTTCCACGCCATGTCTTTAAAATATGGAAGTTAATTTTACCCCAGAAATTTCCTCTAATGACGGCGCATGCGTTAAGCGGTCTTTCGTCTCTTTTCACACTTTCACAACCAAATGGATGCTTAAGTCTATTTACCTGATTATATTTGAATTACATTACAACATCAATGATGTAAAAGGAACCTAATGAAATTAATTAATTGTCACATAAACCTTTCACCAGAATTCAGCATTGCTGAACAGCACTAGCTGTACACATAGCAATTTGAATATACTTTGAAAAGAGATAACTTTCTCTCCACTAAAATCCTACATCTACGATTAACTGATTTGTATAAATATGGCAAGCAAAAGTATGAAAAAATCAACGTCAAGACAGACGCAGCTTAATAGTGCCGACCTAAAGCAAGGTTGGCACAGAGGCCTCTACTACAAGTAACAGTTGAGCTGAACAATCTTTGCTAGAAGACAATACACTTCTTTAGCTGGTTAAGACAGAACAGATATACATGCGATCAGATGGTAGAGACTATTACAGCGGAGATGTCGAGCTTTCAGTCTGAGATTGGATTGATTGTCGAAACATTCTGTTTGGAGGTCAAAACCAAAATGGATGCTCTACTTCTCCATTAGTATATGGCAATCAAAAGTCTTTCTATAAAGAGCCAAATAGTTGCCTACTGTTGTTTAGGGACAAAGAGTTTACTTAAAAAGTTATATTATGCCATCATTTACTCACCCTTATTCATAACCTATTTGAGTTTCTTCAGTTGAACACAAAAGAAGATATGTAGAAAGAAAGTATGTTGGAAATCTGTAACCGTTGACTTTCATAATATTAGTTTTTCCTATGGTTACAGGGATTCAGCTTTCTGTTAAACTTGTGTTTAACAGAAGAATGAAACTTGGAACTACTGGAGGGTGAGTATAGAATAAGTCAATTTGAATTTTTAGGTAAACTCTCCCTTTAACTGCAACTATTTATATGCAAGTGATTGACAAAAGAAACTGTAGACCAAAATATGGCCAAATGCAAGTACTTATCCAAGCACGCGATTACTTACTGAGCAATTGCCATTGAGATGAATGGGAATGCTAATTAAAAGTGCAAGCTTTTAGAGGATGTGTGATAGAAATGAAGAAGAGAAGCTCTTTCAGTCGCTTTGTCTGGTGCAAATTAACATTACTCAGTGCACAGCAGCATCAAGGCGTTTAAAAGTCTGCAAATTCGTATGGTCAGAGGAATTACACACTGCAAGTTAAGAAAACAGATGCGAATAGAAAAACACTAATTGAGAAAACATCTTTTTTGACAACACACATATCTCACAACACATAAAAATACAAAAATAACAGAATTTTGTCGGGGGACACTAAAAATTGCTTCCTGTTTTGAGTTGAGTGTTGTCAGAGATCTTTAAGATGAGTTTATATTGCCCTGGTTGTTTGTGTTCTTGTTGTTTGTATTTTTTAGCCCTACTAATCTGAAAAATCAGCCCGATCTCACAAGGAAACATATCTATTTTGAATATTGTCAGAAAAGTGCCGAATTCCAGCCGATTCGAATGTTATCACTCGATTGAATGGGCATTTTCAGTGGTTATCAACTGATATGTGGCCAGTAGGGTCTTCTTCACCCACTAGTAGGCTCAGAAGGCCATTATCATCCATCCATTCATTTTCTTTTCGGCTTAATCCCTTTATTAATCCGGGGTCGCCACAGCAGAATGAACCGCCGACTTATCCAGCACATGTTTTACGCCGCGGATGCCCTTCCAGCGGTAACCCATCTCTGGAAACATCCATACACACTCATTCACACTCAGACACTACGGACAATTTAGCTTACCCAATTCACCTGTACTGCATGTCTTTGGACAGTTGGGGAAACCGGAAACCCGGAGGAAACCCACGTGAACGCAGGGAGAACATGCAAACTCCACATAGAAATGCCAATTGACCCAGCCGAGGCTCAAAACATTGACCTTCTTGCTGTGAGGCGACAGCACTACCTACTGCGCCACTGCGTCACACTGTTATCATCCATTTTTAATCAGCTGTGGATCACATACAGCTGTGGCCGGAAGTTAGCTAAAATTATTTGTATTATTTATTAAATTTCTCATTAATTGTGTGAGTTCACAGCCCTTTTTTTAAAATGAGGCAAAGCCACAGGACTAAAGTGAACTGAAAAACTGAAAATGTTTGAAGAAGTGGCTCAGAAGAGGGTCTATGGAGAATACGGTGTTTATTTGTGCGTACTAAAATAGTCAAATAAAATAATAATTACTAAAATAATTTTTTTGTCCTCACATCAACCCCACCCCCACAAACGTCCCACAAACGTAGGTTTGTCACTTTTTGGGGTCCCCTATTTCTACTGTATTGTCTGCACTATTTGCTGTGCTTTCCTGTATTTTCATGTGTTGTGAGAATTTGCATCCCTGTGTGTTGTCAAATCGCTGAAGATCTTTTCTCAGCATCTTTCTTCTTTGTATATTTGCATGTGTTTTATTAACTTTGAGCTCTCTTGGCCACGATTCCAGCTGTCAATAAACAAAGCATTTTTTTTACAATATACAACAGTATGTTCAGGCGACGCAGTGGCGCAGTAGGTAGTGCTGTCGCCTCACAGCAAGAAGGTCGCTGGTTCTAGCCTCTGTGGGCCAGTTGACGTTTCTGTGTGGAGTTTGCATGTTCTCCCCGCGTTTGCGTGGGTTTCTTCCGGGTGCTCCGGTGGAATATGTTAATTCTCATGGTTTAATAAAAAATAAATAGAATCTTGGAAATCAACAGGCGACCCTCCTTCATTGTCCCGCGACCCCTCTTTGAGAACCACTGGGCTAAATTGTTCACAGTGTATGAGTGTGAATGTGTGTGTATGGATGTTTTCCAGAGATGGGTTGCAGCTGGAAGGGCATCCGTTGCGTAAAACATGTGCTGAATAAGTTAGAGGTTCATTCCGCTGTGACGACCCCGGATTAGTAAAGGGACTAAGCCGAAAAGAAAATGAATGAATGAATGAACAGTATGTTCATAGTTATGGGCACTCACATGCAAAGGAGCTCTAGGAACTGGGCTAGCTGACTTGGTCCTTCTGTTCCTGAGTTGTCAATGGAGTTATCAAACATGTGCAGCTTCTCTAGCCGTGGGCCGCCCGAGCTATCAGGTCCGCTTTTTGATTTTTCACTTTTCTTCTTTGTCTTCTTACCTAGCACAACAACATAACATTTACAGCTGAGGCTTATCTCAGAGGATTCTATGCCTCCTCTTATTCAACAAGAACATAGTGGATGGACAGTAACTATAGTATTTCAATTTTACTACAGTACCTAATGAAATAGCTCACCCAAAAATTAAAATAGTTGATGTTCTTAGTTCAAGACCTCTATGACTGATGGAGTGAAATATAAACAATATAGGCTCATTCTGAAAACGTAGCCCTATATACATTTCTGGAGATGGGGAATTATGTAGCCAGAGCTACGTATGGCTGCATTTTACCTGTAAAACGAACACTACAGGTTGGTGTTACACCTTTCCTTTTGTTGTTTAGTTGAGCGATGACCTCTGTATTGACGGCTTTCCTGATGTTACCAGTTTGTCCAGTAGCTCGACGTGTACGTTGTGGACTTGAGACGCAGAGTAAAGTTGACCGAGATGATGGGGATCGATCAGTTGGTCAGTCAGTAAGTCAGTCAGCCGAAAGCAGCCTCTGGTGGATTTACGTGAGAACAACAATCATGAATGGCAGTTGCGAGAGAAATTTGAGATCTGAAAAAGCGTACACATCAGCCGCTGGTGGACTTGTGAAAACAAAAACTGCAAAAATACAAACGTAGCTCCTGAGATGTATTTTGCTCTCTCCAGAAATGTATATAGGGGTACATAATCAGAATGACCCTGGGTTAAATGTAAATTACTAATGCAGAATTTAAAGAATTATTACTTGAAATATTTTTTTTTAGGTTACAATCAGGCGTTTGTGAATTACATCTGCTGTATAAGGTAGAAAACAACTCTCTGCTATTCCTAAAAATGCAGCACAACTAACTAAAAATGTTGCTTTTGATTTAATAATTGTGATTTTATAAGCGATACCGATATTATTTTTAATATCATAATATAGATTAATTTAATAATTATTAACAATAGCAACCCGTGGATTTGTTTATTTTCATGTTACATCTAGTTTAGGCAACTAATCAACTAATTTGTATAAAATCTGTATTGCATCAAAGGGGTGTGGCCAGAGGCGCTGTAATGTTATAGCAGAGAAAGCTAAAATGCCATTCAAACGCTGCTATTTTCACAGAGCTTCTTCTGTTTCTGTATGTCAGCTTCCAAAGGACACAACACAAAGAGAGAAGTGCTTACAGTTAAATTTTAATTAAGTTCCAGAGAATTATATAAAAGATATAGCTCTAGCATTTGACAAAGGACAGCTTCTAGAATCTCTCCCAGTTCAGTGCTGGATTCGGCTAATAACTCCTCAAAGAAGGAGCAGCTCCAACCATATTAGACGAAGCGTGGACTGTGAGCCACAGCCTGAGAGTGTTTTTATTTATTAATATTGATCTATCACATGCACAGTTTCTAGCATTAATGATATGTTGTAGTGAGGACATAAACAAGGATGTAAACAACAGGAAATGCTGTTTGGCACCGCTAACAATAAAGCTAAAATTTAGCTAATGGAATACACATTTATTCGTCACACCCCTGTAAATACCCACAATCTTCAGTGTCTCTCTATGTGTCTGCTTTCCGTGTGTTCTTTATCTCAAAAAACAATCTCGCAAAAGATATGTGAACATTTTATTTTGCTTACCCATGCTTATAACCCGACTATATGAAAGACACTTGTCAGATGTTATTTTAAACAGCAGGAATGAGGTTTAGTTGTGTTCTCTTCAGCTTGTGTCTGATTCAGGCTCAAACTAATACGGCTAACAGCTACACTGATTGACAGCATTCACACAGCAGAGCTACAGTGAGGCTTCTTGGTGACGTGGAGCTGATCCGCGAATCACAGCACATGTTAGCTGACCAATCAGAGCCTGTTGAGGTTGCGCTTTTGGAGAAACTAGGAAATATGACATCCGTTTTCATGTTAGCTGAGTAGCTATATAATCAAAAGAAAGATATATGAAACAACAAAGGAATTTCTTTTTTTACAAGTGAAGCATGAGCATACATTGCTTTGCATTTTATAAACACAACCAAGCCTTAAAAATACACTCTGGACCAACCCTTTTAATATAATAGGTTTCGCATCATCTCACAAACCTCTTCAGTTGCCACATTGTTTGAGAAAGACTGAATTAAATCAAAAGTAAGACATAAATAAGAAATGGCACCACTTCATTGCTGTTACTAATACTCTGTTCCTTTTTACATGCCAAAAGCCACAAAAATAAGTTCCTGTGATTAAAGAAATGTATTATATACATGTGCATATCTGCCTATATGTAACTATGTTTTAGTATGTGTCCTATACATTAATTTCCTCTACATTTTCCCTGTGGATGTGCTGTGTTATCAAGTTTCTGTAACAAGAGTGCTAAGTTGCACTAATGCTCTTGAGAAGGATTTGCCTTAGCAAAACCAACAGCCCATAGGAGCTCTTATGCTTATAACATGTGAAAACTGTGTGACACATCTATTTTATTACTGTTATTCTTTTTTTAAGGCGGTATGAAGTGGTCACCAGAGGAAAAAATAAACTATTTGGCAGTACAGCACATTAGAAGTACCTTTTTTCTTTGCTTTCTTTCGCCTGGAGGATGTAATATTGTTCCTTTGGGAAATCGCCTCTGTCTCGTCTGAATGGAGGAAATATGTGAGTGACATCACTTCGCACAAACATAAGGCTACATCACAACCTTCAACGAAACCTCGTAGGTGTTGGGAAAAGAATGATGGAGTGATTATTTTAGTAATTTAGTCTTGACACATTCCACTGCATAACAATAAACACTGCGTGCACTGTGAAGTATGATGCATCCCACCCAAACAGGACTTTATACCATACAGAACTCTGAGGTTGTACTGGGTTTAGAAAAACAGAAAATCTTTAAGGGTTTATCTTAAGTCTTATCTTGACTTTTTATTGTAAAGCAAGTCCTCATCCCTTGTGGAATTATGCAGCTTTGTAAGAATGAATTAAATGTAAGTAGACAAACTCACACACGTACCTTTGATGGATGTGGTGCTATTTTGGATCTCTGCCAGTTTTTGGCTGTTTTCAGCCACTGGTCTTAGCAGCTCAATGGCACCCTCACACTGCAGATCATTTCCATTGATGTAAAGCTCCCTAAAGGTAAAGATTGTGTAGTGAGTGCATGAATAACAAGGAAAATAACTGATTTATTAAACACACACACACACAGTCAATGCATTCAGTTAGTGAGTTTGACGTTTAAATAATTTCCATAGACCTTTTTCTTCGCTGCGCCATTGCGAGCGGAGTCTTCCAGTATGATGCTGAGAACATCCGTTTACAGCATTGACAGCTGCTTAATCTTGATCAGAAAATGGTTGTCAATATTGTTTTGAGTGGCTTAGGGAGTGTTTTTGTGATCCACAACTTTGATTTTAAAGGTGTGTGTTAAAGCCAGATGCGGTTCAAGTGCGAGAAAAAACATTCTCCTAATTTCGTGTCTTCAGTCAGATTAGATGGTGAAATACAGCATCAGTGTTCCAGACCTGTCAGCTGTTATACTGCACCCAGCAGCTCTTCAATGCACACACAAACACATGCAATAGATCACTGCATTATAAAGCAAACCAGATTACTGCCATGAAACTTAAGAGGTATGTAATGGAGTCATGCGGTGGGCGGTGGGCGGAAGAATGGTAATCAGCCATATTCATTACATTATTAATATTATTATTATTATTATTATTATTCATTTTCTATTTGGCTTTATTAATCAGGGGTCGCCACTGCGGAATGAACCTCCAACTTATCCAGCATATGCAGCGAATGCCCTTCCAGCTGCAACCCATGACTGGGAAACATCCATTCACACTTATTAACAAACATATACTATGGACAGTTTAGTTTACCAATTCGCCTGTGGCGCATGTTTTTGGAAACCGGAGCACCCGGAGGAAACCCACGTTAACATAGGAAGAACATGCAAACTCCACACAGAAATGCAAACTGACCCAGTCGGGGCTCGAACCAGCAATCTTCTTGCTGTAAGGCGATTGTGCAACCCACAGTCGCCCCTTTATTATTATTATTTTTAGTAGTATTATTATTATTAATGCTAATAGTATAATTTTATTAGAAACTACATACTGTAAGAAAGCAGTTATTTAAAATTGTAATAAATATTTAACAATTTTATTTTTTTTACATTCAATAAAGGACGCCTTGATGAACAGAATAATTTTCTTAAAAAAAAAAGCATGAAAAAAAAAAAAAAACCTGACCCCAAACTTTTGACCGGTCGAGTATGTTTAAGTATGTTTTACAAATTCTCAAAATTGTAGGCAGAATCACATATTTCCAATGAGCCATAGTTGCATTCAGTGCACATAGACAACAAGCCAATCTTCTGTTCATTAGTATAGATGACAAAAGTCTAGATTGTGATGATTTGCAGTTATGACTGTATTAAGATGCTTTAATAGTGTCTCGTTATGAATACCGTTTCCTTCAACTGAAGATAGTCCAAGTCAGTATTAAAGGCCTAGCAAAAATCCCTGCGTCCATTTTTAAAGAGGCATTAATAAAAACGTTAAAGCTTTATATTGTGATAAAAAGAGTTTCTTGAGCTATAAAAGCCTCAAAAATGCTTGATCTTGTTTTCATTCTCGATTTATAAAATCCAAATTTGTTGATATTCCATGCAGTTTTCATGATGAAAGAGTGAAAAAAATCTTGTGCAGTGCATTTTATTCTCTGGAACCTGTGGTTTTTATAGGTATTTCCCTTGAAAAGATCTGATTTATTATTGTTACTTCTTTGGAACATGCTGATTTATGAGTGGTTTGTTCTCAGAAAGGTGCACCTCATGGTGCTACAGTACAGTGTAATCATAGAATGGATGGATATAATAAGTGACCCTCCTGCCTTGGTATTGTTATGAACTCGTTACTATTGCTTCAGTCACGAAGTCTGACGATGAGTCTAACAAGAAGTCTAGGGAAAGTCTAGGGAAAGAGAAGTCTTGAGCGAAGTCCTAGAGAGAAGTCTAACTAGTGCAGTCCCAGCAGACACACAATGTCATAAGATGTTAATATTATGTTAGATTTAGGTCATCAGTGTCTAAAGACAATGTTATTTTGACGTCCAATAACAACGTTAAATTACGTTGATATTTTGTTGATATAAGGTTGTGTTGGAAAGTCGAGCCAACATCATAAACCAAAGTCATATTGACATCAAATATTGACGCTTATTTGTCAGGTATGGCAACCAAAATGTTGAAATGTCTGACATACGTCATAGTCTTAACATTCACACAACATCAAGCCGTAACATCATTTGACTTTGATATTTTGTTGTTTTTAGGTTGGGTTGGAAAGTCTGCAATGTCTGAAATAAAACACAACGTCCCATGACGTTAAGGCACAACATCAGTCTGACGGCATGTTGACGTCCTGTGCCTGCTGGGGTGTTGCTGTTTATTTGTGATACATAAAGTTGGAAACAAATCTAAACAAAGCATGCTAATGAAATACAGGAATCAGCATGCTAATGAAGTACACCTAATAGAGCCAAGAAGCACCAAGCTGACGCCATACAACTAGCACCAAAGAAACCCAACTGTGTTGTCCACTCATATTAGATTGTGTCTGGACCAAAAGCTACACATGAACACAAATGGATGAAAGGAGACTTAAACAAGAGCCGTGCAAAAAAATATCTGTTAATTAACTGGTTCCACCCCGTGCACTTCTCGTAAAGAGTAGGAGTGTAACCCTAATGTCCTGGCCTAATTCCCTCCATTGGCGCTTATTAATCATGGCCTCCCAATCATCCCCATCTGAATTGGCTCTGTCACGGTGTCTCCACTCCTCCAATAGCTGGTGTGTGGTGAGCGCACTGGCGCGGTTGTCCTGTGGCTGCCGTCGCATCATCCAAGTGGATGCTGCACATTGGTGGTGGTGTGAAGAGACTTCCCCTCATGATTGTAGCGCTGTGGGGGTATGGCCATACACGATAAATGGGCTACATAAATACATTACATTACATATTTTGTGATTCTCAAGTGTTTTTTTTTCTATTTATTGAGATTTATCTTTGCTCTGGGCAGCATGGTGGCGCAGTGGGTAGCACAATCGCCTCACAGCAAGAAGGTCGCTGGTTCGAGCCCTGGCTAGACCAGTTGGCATTTCTGTGTGGAGTTTGAATGGTGTCCCTGTGTTTGCATAGGTTTCCTCTGGGCTCCGGAATCCCCCACAAGTCCAAAAAAGACATGTGATATGGGTGAATTGGATAGGTTCAATCTCGGTTCTGGAGGGCCAGTGTCCCTGCAGGGTTTAGCTCCAACTTGCCTCAACACACCTGCCTGGATGTTTCAATTATACCTCATAGGACCTTGATTAGCTTGTTCAGGTGTGTTTGATTAGGGTTGGAGCTAAAATCTGCAGGACACCGTACCTCCAGGAATAGGTTTGGTTATCCCTTGGCTAAATTGTCCGTATTGTACGGTATGTGTGTGAATGAGTGAGTATGGATTTCCCAGTGATGGGTTGCAGCTGGAAGGGCATCTGCTGTGTAAAACATTTGCTGGATAAGTTGGTGGTTCATTCCGCTGTGGCGAATCCAGATTAATAAAGGGACTAAGCTGAAAAGAAAATGAATGAATGATGGAATGAATGAATATTTCTGCTCTGTTCACTTTTCATGTTGAAAATTCAACTCCACAGTTTAACAGAATAACTTTTATTGACATTTAAAAGAGATTTTTTTTTAATTAACATTTCATATAATATATAGACAATTAAGTCTGTAAAATAACAGAGAATGTACTGGCAGCTTATTACCAGGTTTTTGTACTGTAATTTACCCTAACCCAGACACTATATCCCTTTAAACTATTAAATGTTTTAGGAAGTTTTTGGAGGATAGATCAAGATCCCATAATGCAATTCAAAAGCATAAATAAGGTAAGAAAAAAAAAACATCACAAAATATGGAAAACAGTGTGCATCTGCACAGGAGGACATGTCTTTCCACTCAAAATGCAGTTCCCCCTAAAGGATTGCTTTGGTGAGCGGTTTCAAACTGCTGAAACTAATTCAAAAAGGACTTTCTTTTGGCTGGATTTTGTTCAAAATTACATTATTTTAGTTCTTTTTAGATTTCGTTTGAAGTTTACCGGGGCCTTTAGCCATGTCTTGATGTCACTTTTTGTGAGACTGGAACCCTGATAACTTTCATGTCCTGACATTCCGAATATTTCAGAAGATAAAAGCTGTCCTGGCCGATGTCCAGTAGACATATGTCAATATAGTGTAATGAGCAGCACAATATTGATATTGTGGGCACTTCAAAATACAGTGAATAATAATGTCTTATTTTCCTTACTTTTAAAGTACTCTTTAACAATATTCACATTGTATTTACAGTAGATGTGGTAGCACCGTGGCTCATTTGTTAGAACTGTCGCCTCACAGCAAGAAGGTCGCTGGTTTGAGTCCCAGCTTTGCACTGTCTGTATTTTGTACTGTCTGGAGCCAGCACCTAAACTTTTCACTCATCATGGCACACGTGCTGCTGAATGATGTGACAATAAAAGTGATTTGATTTGATTTTGTGTGTGTGAATGAGAGTGTATGGGTGTTTCCCAGTACTGGGTTGCGGCTGAAAGGGCATCCACTGTGTAAAACATATGCCAGAATTTATTTTGCTGTGGCGACCTCTGAAATAGAAATGAAGTGGAAGATAAATGAATGAATAAATGACTGAATGTGATCTGTGCTGAAATAATGCTGAGTAAAAATACTGTAATTATTTATAGAGTTATTGTAAGTAAACTCTCTATAATAAGGCTCCAATAAATAACCTTACTTAGTTTAACTAAACACAATACAAACTACAAAAGCTTTTAATGAGATTAATTTATAAGTTAAGGCCTAAATAATGTATTAATACTGCAGTCGTAATCCAATCACAGGTCGTAATTATTTTATTGAACCAAACTTGAGTTGTATTTTTGAACTTTGTGACGTTTATATATAAACTAATTTCGAGAGGATCACATGCTTATGATTGCTCACAGCCGGTCCCGCATTATTCAATTTATTATTCAACAATCAGAAGATTCCTAAGCCTCTGTAAATACCCGAAGTTCCACATAACAGCCATCTTCGTTTTAAAGAATTCCCCCTTCCCCCCCCCCACTCCTCCTCCTTTCCTAGATGGGTGGCACGGTGGCCCAGTGCCTAGCACTGCTGCCTCACAGCAAGAACGTTTACACGTTCTCCTAGTGCACACGTGGGTTTTTCCTGGCTTCCTCCCACCATCCAAAAACATGCAACTTAAGTTAATTAATTAATCCAAATCTGCACCATATACATGCTCCTAGTAAGAAGTTATCTCTTTAAAAGCAATCACTATCTGTTCATTAGCTACTACAGCAGGGGAGTTCTCGAGTTCTACCTGAGCTCAAACTCCCCTCTTGACTCGCAAACAGGAGGACGCCCTGGGCTCGAGGATCTTATGACCTCATATGAGCTCTCTTCTGGGACAGCATGCCAAACAAGATTTATAATCAATCATCAGTTAAGTGTGATCTCTTGAATATTAACTGTAAAAAATCTGTTTTTCCTTACTGTTGATTTTAATCAATTAACTAACATTTACTGTCTTTTTAGAAAAGGAACACAAAAGATGATGAAGAGCTCAAAAGACAAGTTCAGTTTAACCCAACAGAACAGCTCTAGCCATTAAAACCTCAAAGCAGTTAAGATAAACTATCCGAGAACAGAACACAAAGGAGAACATAAATGGACGGAAGACTATGAAACTAAACGGAGACAGGTGAAGGTGATGTCATTAAGTAATGATGGTGGAAAACAGAACAAAGCAAAACCAGCTCATACTCATTGCAATGATAAAATGACGCATGATGTCAAATTACTTCAGTTTTGAAGTTTCTTGATGTCTTAAAGGAATAGTTCACCCAAAAATAAAAATAACCACATAATTTACCTACTCTCAAGTCTGTACTTACTCTCAAGCTCTTCCATGATGTATAATGGTGTTGGATAGTGGCTTTAATTTTAAGGATACAAAGCGGATAAATCCAGAGTCAAACATCATATAACATTATCAGGGGCGCCGAGGGAAAGTTAGGACGATTCTAATGGCCCATGCCATTTTGGGGCCAACCAGAACAACTTATATTCACCTTATTCTCAGCTGTCGAGTGGGCGCTGCCATTTGAATCTTTTTGTCTCGCGACTTCCGGTCACATTCACTTCCATTCATTTTTTGACGTTAACAACTGGTTACGCTGCTTGATGTTGCAATTAAATATTTTCTTATTATATTATGCTACTTGGTCTGTGTAGTCATGCAAACATTTGTTTGTTGAGCAAGTAGTTTGGCCATTTTCTGCCGTTTATTATTCCTAGTCATTTGTCCCATAGGCAACTGAATCAGAAGTTCTAAGACAATCGCGAAAACAGGCGCACTTCCGCATTTTAGAATAAGGTCAATACACCCACCCCCGGTTCTTTATTTTCGTCCACAGCCCTCCCTAAAAATGTAGTAATAATAAAGTTGCAAGTTGACAGTTTCTGTATGAACAATGAATTTTTCTATTTCTTCTGTTTCTAAGGCCTGCCTGTATGGATGGCCAGGTCCATTTATACTAAACTAGACATTTATCCGTAAGGCAGAAACAAACTATAATAATCTTTTTAGGAAATATAACAAGATCTTTTTACGCGCGTCATCCAACTGTGTTTAGAAAATATGGACGCTTGTAAAGTGAAATTAAAATTTTATCTTCCTAGGTGGGCCGCAGAGGTAGAGCTTGAATGAAAAACACAACACTTTGTTATGTAACTTAAAATACACTTACATTTTGTTAGAATTTTCCTACAGTTGAAGTCAGAATTATTAGCCCCCCTTTGATTTTTTTTTTCTTTTTTATATATTTCGCAAATGATGTTTAACAGGGCAAGGATATTTTCACAGTATGTCTGATAATATTTTTTTCTTCTAGAGAAAGATTTGTTTTATTTCGGCTAGAATAAAAGCCGTTTATAATTTTTTAAATACCATTTTAAGGTCAAAATTATTAGCCCCTTTAAGCTATATTTTATTTAGACTGTCTATAGAACAAACCATCATTATACAATAACTTTCCTAATTACCCTAACCTGCCAAGTTAACCTAATTAACCTAGTTAAGCATTTAAATGTCACTTTAAGCTGTATAAAAGTGTCTTGAAAAATGTCTAATCAAATATTATTTACTGTCATTATAGCAAAGATAAAATAAATCAGTTATTGGAAATAAGTTATTAAAACTATTATGTTTATAATTGTGTTAAAAAAAATCTTCTCTACAATAAACAGAAATTGGGGAAAAAAATTAACAGGGCGGCTAATAATGCAGGGGAGCTAATAATTCTGACTTCAACTGTACTCCTTCATTTGTTGTGTGGTCATCAAAAATCTCTGTTTAAAAAACAATCAGGCACTTCCACTTATCACTATGACTCCAACCAAAAGAGAAGACACCCCTAGTGGAATTAATGGAAATGGAATTGGCTTCACCAAAGCCTATAGTATACATATGATGTGTCACTTGTATAATTCTGAATGTAACAGTCAATATAACCGCTCTAGTGAAGGAAGGTACACCTCCTAGCAAAGGAGCCAATCATCGATTGCTATCCAGCAGGCATAAAACATCATAAGATGTTAAAATTACACTGTAAAAAAAACATTTTTATAGTTTACCGTAAAATAAAGGTCGTTAAATTACAGAAATTTGCTGTAAAATAACAGAGGTTGAATTACAGAAATTTAAATGTAAGTAAATTTTTGTAATTTAATGTCAGCTAGTGATTTATTGAACTTATTGTTTTTTCTCTATCCCATTTGACTCTTTTTTCTGTCTCTCTTTCTAACTTTTCAAACACATAAAAGTCAAAAATATAAAACTAAGATGATATTTGAGTGTAGATCAGCAACATAAGAGCAACATGAAGAAAATCCACATTTTTTCTGAGATGATGCTGTTAACATATAAATTAAAATTTTGTTGTCATTTTCTCAGCCTCCTGTTGATCCAAACCTGGTTGAATTTCCTTCTTCTGTTTGCCACGAAAAAAGTTTTTCTGAAGAATGTTTGCATACACTGTTTGGTATACACTGACTTTCAAAGATGATATTTTCCTATCATGGACATCTCCAAGCTTCTTCTTTTGTGATCAACAGAAGAAAAATCTCATAAAGGGTTGGATCCACTTGAGGATGAGTAAATGGTGGGTAAATATTCATTTTCAGGGTGAACTATCACCTTAATATGGCAGGAGCGAGGCATTGTTAGAATTCTTGGTATGTGTGGACAATCTCTGGCAGACTGAGTGCTGCGTGCTCTATGCTCCGATGTCTGCCACAGTTGAATGTGTGCAGATGATCTACTGGATTGTCAAAATAGCTTCATTTTGTGAGGATCCACTCCCTTTTTCTCTTGAACCGCGTGGCCCATTAAGACACATAAGCAGCTGTAAGCAGTCATCAGCTAAAGCACACGTTTGTGAATTAATATGTGATGAAATGTTTCTGCAGAAGCTGACAGATCCCGGGAGTCAGAGCAGAGACTCATAGGTTAATGGGAAACATAAGCACCGGCGGTCATAACAATCCCTACCTCACAGGACCGTTGGTGAGGAGTGAAGCAAGCAGAGTTCCGCTCCATGAACCCAAACCACAATAACACAAACTCAGGGAACATATTTGTCCGGATCCCAAACCTCCACTCAGCAAACCTTTCAACCCTTCTTGTCCCACACTGAGAGAGAAACAGACAGACAGAGTGTAGAGGTCATTATTAAATCCTTTGAAAACACACTAAGGGTGAATTAAAAACGATTTAAATGGATGAAAAAATGTAAGCCTGAAGCAGTGAAATGATTTTTACCTCAAACAGTAGCATGGTATTGTACTCACACAGAACATGTTTTTGTGTTTAGTAATATGGGACACAAATGCAAGAAATAAATGCAAGGACTACATTACCTGACACAAGTCTGGTCGCCTATCCAAGTTTTAGGAATAACAAGTAATAACTTGACTTCTTGTTGATCATTTGGTAACAGAAGTGGCTTATATGAAAGGCAAAGGCCTCCACATTATGCTTATTATATCAAAATAAAATATGATCAGGCCTTAATTTTGAATTATTTAATTAGGACGGTAAGGTCTGACTGTATAATGTACAGTATTAAATATAAAGTCATGGAGCAGTGGAAGAAGGATTAATATTGTGTATGACTCCCATGAGCTTGGTGGACTGCATCCATACATCTCTGCAATGATATAAAGTCATCTGGAATGGCAAAGAAAGCGTTCTTGCAGGACTCCCAGAGTTCATCAAGATTCTTTGGATTCATTTTCAATGTCTACTCCTTCATCGTACCCCAGACATGCTTAATAATGTTCATTTCTGGCAATTAGGCTGGCCAATCCTGAAGCACCTTGACCTTCTTTGCTTTCAGGGACTTTGATGTGGAGGCTGAAGTATGAGAAGGAGTGCTATCCTGCTGAAGAATTTGCCCTCTCCTGTGGTTTGTAATGTAATGGGCAGCACAAATGCCTTGATATCTCAGGCTGTTGATGTTGCCATTCACTCTGCAGATCTCTCGCACAGCCCCATATTGAATATAACTTCAAACCATGATTCTTCCTTCACCAAACTTGACTGATTTCTGTGAGAATCTTGGGTCCATGCAGGTTTTAATAGGTCTTCTGCAGTATTTGTGATGATTGGGATGCAGTTTAACAGATGATTCATTAGAAAAATCTAACTTCTGCCACTTTTCCAAGTGTTCAACTAGAAGCAAATTTTTCAGCAGAATGGCGCTCATACTTTAGCCTCCACGTTTAAGTTCTTAAAGGGTCACGAAACACCAAAACACATTTTTTGAGCTGTTGACAGTCGTATATGTGTCCCACACTGCTAAAAACACTATTAGGACACCTATATTTCACTAAAAAGTGTAAATTGGTTGTTTTTGCGTTATTTCAAGCAAATTCGTACTTCCTGTTTGAAACGAATTTTTGAAGCTGCGTCACGGTCATGACATAATAGCGTGTATTCCAGCGTGCAGACTGGGCGTCTGTGCCAGAGTGTGTCTTATTACGTCTTACAGTGTGTTGCATTAATGCATGAGTAAGACTTGGGTCAAACCAATCAGCGCGCTCTATTGTGCAACTTCATTAATATTCATTACTATCACCGTGTTTTCAGGACAGAGACGCCACGTTGTGTTGGCAAAACAAGCGTGAAGTGTTGCTTTTATAGTTTGCTGCAGTTAAGTTTCGTTTTCATTTTCTCTCTGTGAGAGCTCAGACTCACGTGTGGATTACAGTGTACGCGACGCGCGACAACAATAACTTACGTGTCTAAGGAGGATTATTGTTTACCTGAGAGCTGTTCTCATCTGCAAACGCTGGGATCTGGAATCGTTTGTAGTATTCTCTTCATAAAGACGCGGCTCTAGTTGCTGGTGATTGTCCTGTCTCTACAGATTTGGTAAGTGAGCGACCAGTGCTCTTTGTTTATTCAGTTTGTTCGTATCTAACAAACTATTGCACAGAGTGTAAACACGTTAGCACCACAACCAAACTTTAACCTCGTGTAGGGTTTTTACCGCATTTAGTGACCGGAATAACACGCGCGGCTTTCTGACACTACCTGTCGTGTGCATCTAAGTTTCTGGGAAATGCAGAGGTTTTTTTTCTCTCATTCGCCGTGCGGTATAAAACATTGCATGAAAAATACACGCTTGCAGCAGTTCCTCGAATCAAATATCTCGTGTGTCGCGAGGGGCATGAATGAATTCCCTGAATGAAAGAGCCAAACTGCAGTTAAAGTCCACCATTTAATAATTTGGCTAATAATTCGACTACAGATGTCTATGTAGGTTAAACACCATCACATTCTCCTGTATGTATGTGTGTGTGTGTGTGTATTTTGACTCTGAAACTCGCGCGTGCCCAAATCGACACTCCCACACCCTCCCACTTTAGTTCCTCCGACACTCCCCCCTAAACAGAGCTGGACACGCCCACTTTTCTGACTTTTTCCAAAGAAGAGGTGTGAAAACACCCTGCTGAAACGAGGGGGTTTCATGGCCCTTTAAAAGCAGAGTGCTCCAGGATTGGCCTACTCAGTCACCAGACAATAACTTTATTTAGCATGTCTAGAGTATGATGGAGGAGGCATTAAAGATCAATCCAAAGAATCTTGATGAACTCTGGGTGTCCTGAAAGAACACTTTCTTTGCCATTCCAGATGACTTTATTAATACGTTATTGCAGAGATGTATAGATGCAGTCCTCCAAGCTCATGGGAGTCATACACAATATTAATTATTTTTCCACTGCAGCATGACTTTATATTTTTTATATTCTAGACTTTTGTCTAAGGAAAGTCAGACCTTACTGTCCTAATTAAATGATTAAAAATCAAGGCATGATCATATTTTATTTTGATAAAATAATCGTAATCTAGAGGCATTTGTTATTCCAACGCAATCTCACGGCAAATTCGTAACTTTTTCATTTAGTGGCTAATTCATATGATCTAATTCGTACATTTTAGTACGATTTGCTCATTCCCTATTGACGATTGGGTTTAGGCGTGGGGTTAGGTGCCATGCCTCCTTTTTAAAATCATATCATTTTATAGGACTGAACTCGTACGAATTAGGACGAATTAGCCACTAAACTGCCAAAACGTACAATACTTACGTTTTCTCGTGAGATCAGGCTGGCCATTCATATGAGCCACTTCTGATATCAAATGATGTTTCTAAAACTTAAAGACCTTTTGTCAGGTAGTGTAGTTTATTGTTTTGGGATTCACAAGTGTTTTTCGTTTATTTAGGGTTGTGAAATGCATTATGAGATCGTTATCTCTGCTCAGGCAATTTTTAATAAAGTGAAATTTACTGACATTTTAGTAGTTTGAAATCATATAAATGTATAAGAAATAATATTTAGAGAAATAAGCCTGTAAAATAACAGAAGATGCACTGACAGTTTATTACAAAGTGTTTGTACCATAATATACAACGCCAACCCAGACAATATATCCCTTTAAACTATTAACAAAGTTCATAAAAGTAACTTTTTAAAACTTTTTGAGGATACAAGTTGTTGGAAGAAAGATTAAGGTCCCATAAAAGCCAATCAAAAGTATAAATAAATGGGAAAATTAAAAAACATGAATCACAAAATATGATATTTTTTACAATGTAGCTCATCATTGAGTCTATTTATTTACTTACAATATGTAAATGTGTGTAAATACATATTTATTAAGTTGCTCTTCTAATTTCAGTAATATCATTGAATAATATGCAAATGTTTAGATGGTTTATGTACAGTAGAATGTAGATTGTAAAGTAATATTTTCTGTCTTTTAATAATATATATTAAATGACTTACTTTGCTTACAAAACAGGTGGTTCTAATTGGATTTGGACTGTAAACCTTAATTAAAGGTATTATTATTTTAATTAATGTTTTGGGGAGTTTTTACTCACTTTACTGTCAAAATTGAAAATTATTTTAAATTCTGTCCAGAAATGGCAAAAAATGTCCACTGATACTGGCTGGCCCAGCTCATAAACCATGTAAGGGTTTGTTTATTCAGTAAAACTCATGATCCTCACTAAGCTCACTTGTGAAAGTGATGTAGAGTGTGACAAAAAACAACAATGGATAGTCTTGATGAAATGCGAATATTCACAAGAGATGCAATTCAACACATGAGGGGGAAAAGGGTGGAAGTAGTAATGCATCTCGGCTGACAACTCATAATTGGATCCATCAAATTGCATGTTTATACAAAGTTTACACAACATGGCCTGGAGCCGCACCAACACTGCACATTTTACAACATCCCCGTAATCCAACACACCTGACTCAGGTCATCACCTCATTAGTACAGTCTACAAGACCTGAAGTGGGTGTCAGACAATGGAGGCATGCTAAATGTGCAGTGCTGGGGGGAGATTCCAGGAATGTGGCTGAGAGCCACCGGGCCAGACAGTGTAAAACTTAATATACTGTACACCAGGGAACCGTGGGCCTCTGTTCTCTGTTAATGTCATTCCTAATCAAACACACCTGCCTGTAATTTTTTAAGCAGTCCTGAAGATAAGGCTTAGATTAAGAATGGGGTACACAATCAGATGTCCACTTACAGTGTGTAGTCCAGACAGAGTGTGGTCAGGTAGCTTGTGGCTAAAGCTTTGCCCAATCTTTTCATTGACCATTCAGACAGTCTGCAGTCTAGCAGCTCCAGTAATCTGAAGGGATACACTGTTGTCCCCCGCCTCTCCATAAGAAAACACTATGTAAAAAAAAAATATACATAAACTTGTAGCTTCTAACTCACAACTGTGACTTTTTTTTAGAATTGTGAGTTTATATCTGCCAATTATTAAACTTTATAGCTGATAATTGCAATGTTTTAATCTTAGAATTCTGACCTTTTTTCTGTGAATTGCAGTTTTTTGTCACAATTTTTTTTTTCTCAGAATTGTGAGTTTATATCTTAGAATTCTGACTTTTTTCCTAAAATTGTGTATATCTCGCAATTCTGACTTTCTGACTAAATTTTGACTTTTTAATCACAGAATTATAATTTCTTTCCCCCACAACTGGGAGATTATCTCACAATTCTAATTTGACTCACAATTGAGTCTTTTTATCTCAAAATTCATACTTTTTTTCTCAGAATTACAATTTTATAATTTACAATTAAAAATATTTATCTCAGAACTCTAACCTTTTTCTCAGAATTGCAGGTTTTTAACTCACAGTTCTAACTCTAACTTTTAACTCACAATTGGGACTATTTATCTCAGAATTCTGACTTTTTTTCAGGCTTGTGAGTTTATATTTTGCAATTCTTTTAATATTTTCAAGAGTTCACACTTAGCCAATGATCTGTCAAAGCTTGTTTGGGGAAACCCACGCAAACACGGGGAGAAAATACGAACTCCTCACAGAAACTCCCACCGGCTAGGCGAAACTAGGCCCGTGGTGTTCTTGCTGTGAGGCTCTCAGTGCTAACCACTGGGCCACCGTGCCGCCCAATCAATGTCAAGGAGGAGAATTGGGGAGGAAGGGGGGTTTCTTCCAAACGAAGATAACGTGGACTGAAAACTGTGGTTCTTTATAGTAGCTTAGGGCTCATATGATTGGAAGATAATGATTAGCTAATACAAGACCGGCCGTGATAAATCATAAGCACGTGATCCTCTCGAAATTAGTTTATAAACAAACTTCACTTAATGGCAGAATTCTGAATTCTTTCCCACATTTGGGGAGTTTATCTCGCAATTCTAACCTTGACCCACAATTGTGTGTTTTTATCTCAAAATTCTGACTTTTTTCTCAGAATTGCAAGTCTATATCTCCTAATTCTAACTTTATGGCTCGCAATTACAAATGTTAATCTCATAATCCGGACCTTTTTTCAGAATTACAGGTTTATATCTAACAGTTCTAACTTTGACTCACAATTGCAACTTTTTATTTCAATTGCGAGTTTATATCTTGCAATTTTTTAACTCTGATTTTTAAAACTGCCGTCGACACCAATAAAAGTGCAGATGAAAACCCAACTGTGTTGGGTTCCCATTGGTTTGTGTCTGGACCAAAAAGCAATCGCATGGCAGCCAACTGAAATGTTCAAAATATCTTGTTTGCAATGGGCGACCAGAACTTCTGACATGTAAAGCGTAAACGAAGCAGCATTCAGTACCTTTATCATGGTTATCATGGTTCATACACATTTTTACTACAAGATTTCTTTGACTTTTCCAGGACTTTCAAGTCAATTTTCATGACCTAATGTTTCATGTAATGTCTACATATACACGATAAATTATATAAAAAAAAAACATTGAACAGTTTAAATTGATTACAGCATATCATACAACTCTTAACAATCTCTTTAGGGTCAATTTATTTTTATATCTATGTAAAATAGATGATGCTTACACTGCACTAATTATGTGAGACCATGTGTTTGGCCAAGAAATGAAGTAAAAACAACTAACCTCCATTCCTGTTTACAGATATTTGTCAGACTAATTTTAGATGATGTTTATAGTTTGTTAAACTATTAATAGTAGGTAAAACTACTTCTAAAGTAAAGCCGTGATCACACTGCACTTTTCTCTCCATAGACTTGCATTCATAGTCACGCGAATGCGGCAGACCAGAAACGCAAGGACGTGCAACAAGTTTCGCATTTTACTGCATTCAAAAGTTTAAGCTTGGTGAATATTTACCTGCGACATCACGTCAGGTGATTGTGTAAGACCAATAGAAGATAATTTAAAATAAGAAATTTTAAATATGGAGCAATCGCTCACTTTTATTAACGTCTAATCATATTGTTTAATACCATCACTTTTCCCAACGTCAGCTAAATGACTAATGTAAATATAATTTCTATGACTTTTCCAAAATTTTTCCAAAGCCTGGAAAATGCCATGTCAATATTCCATCACTTTTTCAGGTTTTCCATAAACCCTGGGTAATTGTCACTCACCACTAATAGAGTGTCACACCCCTGCAAATACATCTGATAATCTAATAATTGCAAATATTTGAGGAATTACAGCCGGCCATTTGTGTTCCTTTTTAACTTGAATTCTTTAATTGCTACGTCACTTCACTATGTCACACTCACGCTCTGCTTATGTGCTGATTAACCAGTCAGAGCGCGCTCTTCAGTCTGACGCAGATTCGACATGCTGAATCGAGCCAACGAGAAACACAATGAGCAAGCGAGGAGTCGGACAGTACCCCTAACCTGATTTCATCAAGTAGAATATGTTCCTGGATCAGCATCTGTGTTGATCCACGAACATCATTCCAATCAGCCAACCGGAATTAAGGGATACGTTTACCGTTTATGTCAACAAGGAACACAACGAGCCAACAAGGAGCCCCAGAAATTGGCCAACCAACTAGCTGGACGAAGCTGATCAAAGAAGCAGAACAGCCGGCTGTTGGCCCGGTATGTCCCGACCCTAACCTCTCATAATTCTGAGAAAAAATCCCCACAACCAGGCTTCTATGAATAACAGACCAGAATGTGATAAATAAATCATTCATTCACAATAGTTGTGCTCAGAATAGTTGATCAGAATAGCTGGTCAGTATAATGGCTCAGTGTCACAGATGTAAACATGCTGTCTTCTTTTATGAGGGGAGTTCTCATCACAACTTGGACAACAGCTTTGTTTCCAGGTGAACCATTAAAGAATGATACACACAGAATTCAACCAATGATTCCAATGCTCCTAAAGTGTTTCATATTTTATATGCCTTATTTATTAAACATTTCAGTCAATTATGCAGTATACATGAAAGTTAATGAAAGTTAGCAAGTTATTAAATGCTGGGCTGTGAGGTGTTATTACAGAGATCAAAACTATTGCTCTTAACAAAACGGCTGTGTACAAATGCTATCAAACAATAAGAAAAGAGGGTTTTTCCAAACCGACATCTTTTTAAAACCCTAAACAAAACTCCCACCACGCCATTTCATGGATAAATACTGATTTACAACAAGCAAAAAAAGTCTCCTAGAATCTCAACAACAAACATGAAAACCTCTCATTGACTCTCAAGCACTTATTGTTATAACCCTTCGACTGGGACGTATAAATTTGTGTACATGCCATGGTGTATTTTAGGACTGTCCTAACAACATTAAAGAGCAGAACTTCAACAGCATACTTATCCTCCATAATGTTTTTCTAACATTCATAGTCTGCAGGTCTGAACTAAAATATGGCAGTGATTTTCACAGCATCAAAGAAATTCTAGAAGTAAATCACGGCCTTTAATTGGACATATTTTTCCGTTTTATATGAGCTGAAGTGTGAACATGTTGCCCCTGGAAGGGAATGAAATGGTTGTGGAATAAAAGCTTGTCAGTAGCCATAACATACAACCCATGGCAGCTTGCAATGTCTAAACTGGCCCTTTTTTGTGGTTATACAGCTGTTGTTTAGGAAGTATAAAAGTTACATTTTCAGCCATCATTTTGCTAAATTGCACCCACAATGTTGTTCAGAGAAACTTGAGCATTTCTGTATATCTCTAGTGTAGTTCAACAATTACAGTATGTCCATAATTAATCTGTTGACCTAAAATAAACTTTTCCATCAGCACATATTTGTGTATTTTTAATTATTTAAGCATGCCATGTGTATGATTTTTTGATTTCAGGACTTGCCATATTTTTAGTTATTTCATTAGAACAAAATCACACAATGAATGTATTGGTAAATTTAGAAAATGTATAAGTTGGTTTAAAACTAAATGCTTACAAAAAAGCCAAAATACCTTATAGAGTCACCGGCCACTTTATTAGGTATACCTTACTAGTATCTGGTTGGACCCCCTTGTGCCTTTCGAACTGCCTTAATCCTTCGTGGCATAGATTCATCAAGGTACTGGAAATATTCCTTAGAGATTTTGGTCCACATTGACAAGGTAGCATCACACAGTTTCTACAGATTTGTCGGCTGCACATTCATGATGCGAATCTCCTGTTCCACCACATCCCAAAGGTGCTCTATTGGATTGAGTCTGGTGACTGTGGAGGCCATTTGAGTACAGTGAACTCATTGCCATGTTCAAGAAACCAGTCTGAGATGATTCACGCTTTATAATATGGAGTATTATCCTACTGGAAATAGACATCAGAAGATGGGTACACTGTGGTCATAAAGGGATGGACATGGTCAGCAACAATACTCAGGTAGGTTGTGGCGTTGACACAATGCTCAATTGGTACTAATGGGCCCTAAATGTGCCAAGAAATCATCCCCCACACCATTACACGACCATCACCAGCCTGAACCATTGATACAAGGCAGGATGGGTCCATGCTTTCATGTTGCTGATGCCAAATTTCGAGCCAACCATCCGAATGTTGCAGCACAAATCGAGACTCAACAGACCAGGCAATGTTTTTCCAATCTTCCATTGTCCAATTTTGGTGCGAATTATAGCCTCGGTTTTCTGTTCTTAGCTGACAGGAGTGGCGCCCTGCTGTGTTCTTCTGCTGCTGTAGCCAATCAGCCTCACGGTTGGAGTGTTGTGTGTTCAGAGATGCTCTTCTGCATTCCTCGGTTGTAACAAGTGGTTTTTGAGTTACTGTTGCTATTCTATCAGCTGGAACCAGTCTGGCCATTCTCCTCTGACCTCTGGGATCAACAAGGCCGCTCCCTGAATATTTTCTCTTTTTTGGACTATTCTCTGTAAAGGCTAGAGATGGTTGTGCATGAAAATCCCAGTAGATCAGCAGTTTCTGAAATA